GAGGAGGAGAAGGAGGAGGAGGAGGAGGAGAAGGAGGAGGAGGAGGAGGAGGTGGTGGTGGTCAAGTATTAATTCAATCGCTTTATCGTCATCGACTTACAATGTTAACTTATCCTACTACCCGCCGTCTATCAGCTCCCGGCAGCGATCCCGAGCTTGACTCGTAGCTGGTGAGAAGATTCAGGGGGAGCAGATGATGATGATGATGATGATCATGATGGAGATGATCATGATGATGATGATGATGATGATGATGATGATGATGATGATGATGATGGAGATGATGGAGATGATGATGATGATGATGATGATGGAGATGATGATGATGATGATGATGGAGATGATGATGATGATGATGGAGATGATGATGATGATGATGATGATGGAGATGATGATGATGATGATGATGATGATGATGGAGATGATGATGATGATGATGTTACATCCCGCTGCTCGTTAACTAGTCCTCGACCTCTCTGTAGCTTGCATGTGCGGCGTTGTATTGAAGCACCACGGAATGTGCTCAGTGTAGGGGAAGATGCAACGAGGGGGAAGGAAGGGTGTGATGGAGAGGACAGTGACGAGGAGCAGGAGGAGGAAGAGAAGGAGGAAGAGGAGGATGCTGAAGTAGCAAGCGACGGGGGTTAGGAGGAAAAGGAACCACACACACATTCTTAGGGGTAAGGGTGATAGATTTTCGTTTCATTAGGGTGGGATGTAGTTGTAGATGTTCGGTGGGGTTGTGTGCATACGGGAGGGGGGGGGAAGGAGAGAAGAGCAGGAGAGAAGAGAGACACAGAGACAGAGACACAGACAGAGACACAGAGAGAGAGAAGGGGGGGGAAGGAGAGGGTAAGCCAAGAGAGAGGAGCCTAGGGAAAGATTGAAGCAAAGAGTGGCGACCCGTGCATAGAGGAAGGCGGCTGACTAGACTGCATGTTCATTGATTGCTTCACTCCCTTGGTCCTACCCTCTCCTTCTTCTACGTGGATCCTTGGCTGCTTGTACTTGATGTTCTCAAATTGTTGTGTCCCTTCTTTTCTCCTGCTGTGCGGAGTGTGTTAGGGTTTAGATGTCACGATGTGTGTGCTGTCAAGCGTGTGTAGGCGTGCTCTTGCGTGAGGAGGAGCATTGGCTGTGCTCATGATTCTGATCACATCATGTAGGCCTCTGCCACTCCTTGAACTGAAACTGCAACCCGCATCCCACGAGGCCTGGCGGAGAAGAGAAGGAGCAGTAAGTTCAGCTGAAGTGGAAAATGGTTGAAGCGCTTTTGAACGAGGACTACAAGGATGGGATGGGTATCCCCTTCATCGCCTTGGAGGGAGACGGGGACGATGCCAGGTTCCGTGTGACTGAAGAAGCTAAGGAGTTCCTCTCCACTCTCAGAGCTCCTGTCGCACTGGCCTCCATCGTTGGCAGGTACCGCACGGGGAAGAGCCTTCTGGTCAATCGCATGCTGCTGGATGTCAAAGGAAAAGGATTTCAGGTGGGCGCGACAGTCAACTCATGCACCAAAGGCTTGTGGCTCTGGAACAAACCGCTCATGACGAAGCTGGCGGATGGCAGTGAAGTAAAGCTGCTCATAATCGATACCGAAGGCATCGGATCTCTTGACGCCGATGCCGACCATGATGCGAAGATCTTTGCGCTCGCCCTGTTGCTGTCTTCCTACTTCATCTACAACTCCGTCGGATCCATCGACGAGTCTGCGCTCAACAACCTCTCGCTCGTTGTCGAGCTGACGAAGCACATCAGAACCAAGTCGGACCGAGAAGCCGGCGGTGAGCCTGAGACCGGCGCGGAGTTTGCCAACTTCTTCCCGCACTTCCTGTGGGTGGTACGTGACTTCACGCTCTTGCTGGTGGACGAGAACGGCAACCCCTTCTCCCCTAAGCAGTACCTTGAACGCGCCCTGACTCCGGTGCAAGGATTCTCGGAGGGGGTCGAAGTGAAGAACCGCATTCGTCGTATGCTGCTTGCCTTCTTCCCGAACCGAGACTGCGTGACGTTGAAGAGACCCGTCGAGGACGAGAGCAAGCTGCAGCAGCTCGACCAGGCCGAGTGGTCTGACTTCCGTCCTGAGTTTGTCGAGCAGGTCAAGCTTCTCCGAAGGAAGATTTATTCTTCTGCTCCTGCCAAGACCCTCAACGGCAAGATGCTTGACGGCTTCATGCTGAGCCACCTGGCCGAGACGTACGCGACTGCCATCAACACTGGCACTTCGCTGAACATCGGAGACGCGTGGACGCAAGTTAGCAAGTCGAAGAACGTCAAGGCCGTTGATGACGCCCGCAAGCTGTACGAGGCCTCTGCTGCCGAGCTTGAGGGGAAGATGCCGTACTCGGGTGAAGAGCTTCAGGCGCATCACAAGGAACTCTCCAAGGCTGCCGACAAGTTCTTTCGTGAGCACTGCATCGGCCATGGCGCCGAGCTGGACCCGTACATCACCTCGCTCACTGATGCTCTGCACGACTCGTTCCTGACCCTTCAGAGCAAGAACGAGAGCGTTGCCCGTCAAGTGGCAGAAGACTCGATCAAAGAAGCCTACGCGGGGCTTGCGAGCATGGTTGAAGCCAAGTCTTTTGTCTCCTTCCAGGAGTACGAGAAGGAGAGGCTGAAGATCAGAAGTGAATACATGGAAAAGACCCCTGACACCCCGGCAAAGCTCGAAGTCTTGCTGGCATTCATGGAGTATCAGATTCCTGTGGCCGCAGGTTTGATTGCTCAGCACTCCACCACTCAGTTCGAGAAGACCATCTCCGAGAAGGTGAAGAGCCTCCTAAACTCTCGTGCCCCCAGCTTGCCTTGAGTCGAACTCGTTCCTTGAACCTTCTCATCTCGCTGCTGCCCTTCACCTGACGCTTCTTTGCAGGACGAGGAGCTGCGAAATCTCAAGTACGAGCTTGAGAATGAAAAGAAGTCCAACGCTTCGGCGGTTGAGGAGGTCAACACAAAGCTTCAGCACGCGCAGAACCAGATGTCAGACCTGCAGGAGCGCGAGAAGGACCTGAAGCAGGAGCTCGAGCGTGCGGTAGCAGCGCACAAGAAGGAGCTGGAGGAAGAGACATCGAAGCTGAAAGGAGAGTTGGACACGGTGAAGAAGAACATGGATCAGGAGCTGACGGAGCTCAAGGAGAAGGCAAAGAAAGACTCTGCGAGGGCGGAGGAAGAGAATTCATCAATCCAAAAGAAACTGGCGCTAGCTGAGCAGCAGAGCAAGTTCATGGAAGAAGAGAAGTCCAGGCTTCAGAAGCAGAGCTCCGATGCGGCGGCAGAGGTAGAGTCCCTGCGATCTTCGAAGCAGAACCTCGAGGGGGACTTGAAGGCGCTGCGAGATGAGCTGGCTGCTGCCAAGGACAAGGTGGGCGAGCTGGAGTCGAAGGTCAAGTCGTCGCAGGAGGAGGCGTCTCGCTTCAAGAACGAGATCAGCCAGAAGGAATCAGAAGCGAAGATGCGAGAGGAAGACTTGCGCAAGACTACCGCGGACGCCCAGAGTCAGTCAGCCAAGGAACTTGAGGACTTGAAGTTGACGCTGAGCAAGACCAAGGCGGAGCTTGAGGCGGCGAATGGAAAGATGAAGGAGATGGAGGATGAGGTGAGGAAGGGACAAGCGGAGAAAGGAAGCCTCGAGCGCGAGAAGGCCAGCACACAGGCTGCGGAAGAGAAGTTGCAGGCAGAGAAGAAGGAACTGGAAGAGAGTCTCTCGAAGCTCAAGGGAGAGCTGGGCACCAGTGAGGAGGAGCACAACAAGTTGAAGGCTCAACTGGCAAAGGTTGAGCAGGAGGCCAAGGTCGAGGGAGCCTGATGCTTGCTACTCCATGCTGATGAGAAATGGCAGGCGAGCGAAGGAAAGGTGAAGGAGAAGGACGCGCGCATCCAGGAGCTGGTGAGTTGCGGAGGAGAGGAGGAGGAGGAGGAGGAGGAGGATCCAGAGGAAAGTTGACAGGACGTGACTCGCCAGCGTTTCCTGCAGGAATCCAACCTTGCCGTCCTCAAGGCGTCAGGGGAGAAGCAGGAGAACGCCAAGGACGGCGCCAGCGCTGATGCCGATGAGATGAGGTTGCTGCTGGAGCGGCAGGTACGGGAGGAACAGGCTCCGAGGCGAGCCTGACGGGAGCGCAGGCGCGCATGCAAGAAGCCTTCAACGAGGAGTCGACGAAGCTCAACCAGAGGATCCACAGCCTCGAGCAGGTCACAGGCTGACCCGCCCCAGCTCATCCCCAGCTGACGCCCATCAGGAGTGTGATAGATATAAGGAGGTCATTCACAAGCTGTCGAAGAAGGTGGAAGCGGCTAACGCTGCCGGTAACGCTCCTCAGCCATACGAGCCTCCGCCTCCTCCTGTCTGCAGCCACCCCTCTCCTCCTCCTCCTCCTCCTTCCGTGTTGTCCCTCCTCTCCCTCCGCCTTGCTAATGCGCTCCAGGCTTTTCAGGGGAAGGGGTTGGAGACATGCTGCAGCAGCTGGGCGGGTCTTGGGGTCAGGCGGTCCGGAACGGCATCAGCGGACTCGGTGAGGGGGAAAGGAAAATGAAATTTTGGGTGACTGTCTCCAACAGGAAAGAGAGGAGAGAATGCAGGCGCTGCTGCTCCCTCCTCCTCCTCCCCATCCATCCCCCCCGAGTGCTCCACCCTTGCGTCTGGTCGGTCAGGAGCTCAGCAGGGAGCACGCGACAGGTTAGAGGTGAAGGTGCAGACAGTCGCTGACACCTGAGCAGCTGGGTCGTGCTGGACAATCCAGAGCCCAGAAGGTTCGCAATTCTGCACTACCACCTCCTGCTTCTCCTCCTTCCCTTCCTCCTCGACCTCTACCACCACCACCACCACCATCGTCTTCCTGAACGTGAGCTCGTTGAGCTGATATCCAAGCAGCCGCCCAAAGAACGAGATCGTCTTCAAGCCGGTTCAGCAGGATGTGTTCGCACAGGTATGAGATTTCAAGGATAGGAGGGAGGAGGAAGAGGGAGGAGAGGGAAGGAGAGGGAGATGGGTGTCGATCGTGGGATGACAACGATGATGAAGGTCGCTCGACAAACGAATCGCTCGACAGAGGAGGTGTATCGCGCGCATGAGGCTGGGAGGAGCTCGCAGGGTGTGGCAGCTGCTTCAGTAGGAAGCGGCGAGAAGTTCAGGTGCCCTCTAACCCCGCAACACTGAGCCTTCCCCCTCCTCCTTCGCCTCCCCCTTCGCCTCCTTCTTGTCCTCGCCTTTCTCCTCTGCCCTTCTGGACCCAACTGTCTCCTCCTGCTGACGCCGAGCGCAGCTTTGCCAGGCTCAGGGCTGCTATCTCCAAGAAGGTGACAGGAGCGATCAACAAGGTCAGCAGCCTCTTCCTTCTTCCCCCCCCCCCCCTCCTGCTCACGCCCCACAGGTCGACGAGTGGGCCGATAACGTGGAGGGCGTCCTCCTCGGACAAAGTAGACCGCCTCTCCTCGCCTCCCCCGCTCCCCTCTCTCCCTTCCCTCCACTCTCTTTTCCCACAGTTTGTTTTGATCTCTCCTTCTAGGATCTTCCTCTTTCCTACACCTCCTCCCTTCTCTTTCTCCTCCTTCTCCTCTCCTCTTCCTCCTCTGCTCCTGCTGCCACGTCTTGGACTGACCCCCTCCGTCAGCGGTCTACAACAGTGTCCCTACCTCGCCTCCTCGCCCAGCTGACGGCGGCTTCTACCATGAGGTGACTGCCTCTCCTGAGGATCGCAAGAGCGCGCGGGGGGTGCTGGAGGGGCTGGCGGGGTCCTGGGCCCCGACGCCCGAAAGCGAGAGGAACAAGGCGCGGAGAGAGAAGCAGGTGGAACTTGACTTGCCGCGATTTTGACGTCTTTTTTTCTCTATGTTGCCTGTGCTTGTGGTGTGAAGGATCAGCCGAAAGCTTCATGAGGCGATGAGGAGCTGCCGCTGGTGTGTGAGAGACGGAGAGGAAGCGGACGCGATGATGCGGAGGGGAAGAAGGAATGGAGGCACATGGTTGCAGAGGGGAGGGAACAGGGGAAGGGCTGGTAAAGGTTTGGACAGTGGGGAGAATAGTGAGCATCGTAGCGAGGAAAGGGAGAGAAGGAAATATCGGGAGAGTTGAGTTGACTTAGTTTCCCATCTGTTCTTGTGATGATGTCATCCTGCTGCACTTCTTCTCCATCTTGACATGATCGTCCACTAAGATGCTGGCAGGACCAGCCATTTGATCTCCGGAAGGGGTTCTCGCCTATGGGCGCACCAAGGGTAGAGATGCAGTCGGAAAATTGAGAGAGGAGGAAAGGAGAAGAATGCAGGTGTCTAGAGGACCTTATGATCGTATTCATGTGTATCGTGTGTAGATTTATGAAAAAAGACAGCTACATTACAAGCAGTATTACCTGCTCCCTCCTCTCTCCTCCCTTACCCCTCAACATTTCCCGGTCTGAATCATCAGGCTGACTTGTGCCCACACATGGAGCTCTCGGTTCAGGAATCTTCTTCCTCATCAAGAATCCTCCAGTCTCAACTTGTGCTTCAGCTCCTGCAGCATCGCGATCCTGTCGCTACCTCACCTCCCTGCCGCGACACCCGAAACCCTAAACCCCCCGCACCTGAAGCTCTTGAGGTCTGTGCTCGGAGGTCGGAGAGCCTCGTGCGAGGTCGACCTGCACGTGGAATGAGTTCAGCTGGAGCTCAGCTGGTCTGAAGAAGATGAAGGGACAGAATGAAACCAACATCAGTGTTAAGACGAGGCGTGCAGACAACTCAAGAGGGAGGCGTGTAGAGATTCTGAAGTTACCCGTGATGTCTTGAACGTTGTGCTTCTTGCAGCTCCTTGTCAACCTCAGCTTTGATCTGCAAGCAGCATAAGACAGGCTTGGGCCCTCTTTGTTCTCCTCCTCCCGCTCATGAACCAGGTCCATTGAGGCATTTCATCCCATGCATTGTCTGCCTTACCATCCTTGTGTAAGTCCGCATCCTTGCAACCGCTCGTTTGAAATCTTTCAGGTCCACCCGACCGTCCTGTCAGCAAGTCATTCTTCAGCTTCTCGCTCGTCCCCCCTGGTCCTCCTTACCTTGTCCAAATCACAGATAGACAGGATTTCTTTCACGCTCATTTCATCAAAGGAAATCTGCACAAGAAAGCGGGAAGTCAAAGCTTCTCGAACAAGCCATCATTCACTGTATAGGAGTTTCAACAATTTCATCTGAATGTCAAACAGAACAAGTGGGTCTTCCACACCTCAACATACCTGAAAGCTCTTCAAGGCGATTTCCAACTCATACTGGCAAATATGACCAGACTTGTCTTGATCGAAGTGCTGGAAAATTTCGCCAATGCTGGACTTTTTCAAATTCTGATGGTTATGTTTGAGACGAGTTTGACAGAGGCGCGAGGGAGTTACCAGGGGGTGTTGGAGCTCATGATGTGGAATGGCGTCCACCACTGGCCCGAGCTTTCGCGCGAGGAATTCCAACCTTTCTGGCTCGCTTTTCTGTCGGACTGCCTCCCACTCCCAGAAGGAGACCCTCGCCTGCTCCATGCACCTCGACGTCATTCAAGCGGGTCAAGACAAGGCCTTTACCTCTCTCAGCGGCTCTCCGCTTCCACAAGCCAACCTGCAAGTTTGCTGACCTGAGGAGCCGCGAAGAGATTCAATCATGGTTGGCGCGATTAAGACATGTAGCGCACTACCTGTCACGCGACTTGAATGTCTTCCAAGGTGACCATTGACTGCACGCATATGAGACTTTCGAATCCAAGAGGTAGAACCGAAACAACATGTTGCAACGAAGCCTCGAACGTCATTCAAGTGTAAGAGGACAAGCGCGAAGATGATCTGTAGCCTGAACGCGAACATGAAGATCCTTTCAAGAGCATCAACATCAGTTTCATCCATGTTGTTGTGTCATGGCAAGCATCGACCTCGTACAATCAATCTAAAAGCCCTTTGTCCTCATGCTTTTTATTTTGAGTGCTTTCTTCTCCTCTGCCGGGCTTGGACCCTCACCTCTGACTTGGCTTTTCGGGCAAGTATTCTTCTACGTCTCTTAAAGATCGATTCTACTCCATCCTCAATCAGATATCATGTTCATGACTAGACCTTTTTGTATCGTTTGCTTTTGCTACGTGTTGTCATTATTTCTCGTGCAACATAGTTTTGCATTGCTCCTTCTGCAAGTCGGTTTCCTACTTTTTTCTTTGCTATATCCTTGAGGGTGCAGTTGTTTTCGTGTCTCTGCTCTCTACAGCATGAGCAACAGCTGTTCGTCTCTTCCTCGCATCTTCAGCTTGGTCTTGCCTGGCCATGCAAACGCAAAACAGTCTCATCGTCCTTTGACTTTTTTCAAATACACATATCAAATTTGAAATATGCACGAATACTTTTGAAAAGGAGAAACGACCCCAGGACGTTGCGACTTTGGCAGCTCATGGTTGCATTGGCGTACCACCCCACCCCATCTGTGAAGGGAGACTACCATAGCACCGTACCTCTAAATGCACTCCACTTTCGAGTTGAGTAAAGAGTGACTGGTACCAGGCTAGCTGTGAGTAAAAGTGACTGGTACCAGGCTAGCTGTGAGTAAAGAGTGACTCAGTGGTACCAGGCTAGCTGTGAGTAAAGAGTGACTAGTACCAGGCTAGCTGTGAGTAAAAGTGACTGGTACCAGGCTAGCTGTGAAAAGAGTGACTGGTACCAGGCTAGCTGTGATTTAAAGAGTGTTCGCGTGATTGTTTCCAACATCCAGTCCGATGGCATGTTCCTTTTTTTGACGTGCCAGCAGTGACTTCGGAGCCGCTCCTGGTTGCTCTGCAAACAAGAACATCAACAGATCTTTTAGAGCTTCAATCTCGTAGCTAAGAGCTTCCATCTGAGGAGCTCTCACCTCGAGCCCCCTTGGCTCGTGGAACTGAAGTCTCCTGAACGATCACGAGAGTCAAGGGAAACTACACGCAATCAAGAGAGGCGAGAAGAAACAGAAGCTGCGAGGCAGTAGTAAGACCAGCAATGGGCAGAGCCGGGAAGCTCATTCTGGACAAATCGCCTTCTTCTGCAGTCATGTCGTAGTCGTTGCGAATATCCGATCTGGAGGACGGGCAAGGTGTGACGCGAAATGCAAAGCTGTTTGAGCATTAACGTTGAATCCGCTGCAATGAGCAAACATGCATTCAACACACAGGGTCTGTCAGAGCCCAAGTCATGTATACTCACTACTCGATCAGAAACGACACTATTTCTCTGCGCATCCACTTTGAGCTGTAAGGATCAGCAACGTGTTCCCGCAGGCATCGCATGTCGCGCTATCCACCACCTTCTCAACTGCACGCTTGACGGTTCTGACATCACGTTTCATTACGGCCCAAAAGATTTCATCGATATTTCTGCAAGCAATTTCCTCCTCGGAAAGATACTGCAGGTCCTGTTTCTCATCTTCTTTGCATCCATCTACCATGGTATAGCCATCTGCATCTGCATCAGAGGCATCTTCGTCTCTAAGCTTTTCTTCGTGTCATCGACTTCTGGGCTAGCCAGTTGAGCGCATGGTCAGGTTCGACCAGCTCATGAACCCAGCGATGCCGATGGCTGCTGCAACCGAGCTAGGAACTTCTTTCGCCAAGAAGATGGCTTGCTTCAAGTCTGCCAGCTCCTGTCCTACTTGTGCAGGCGACGTTTTGGAAGAGGGAACGTGATTGTTTCCAACATCCAGTCCGATGATGATCTTCTCTTGTTCTTGAATCTTCTTGTCCTCTATGATGATCTTCTCTTGTTCTTGAATCTTCTTGTCCTCTATGATGATCTTCTCTTGTTCTTGAATCTTCGTGTCCTCTATGATGATCTTCTCTTGTTCTCGTTCTCCTCGTTGCGTCTGACGGTCCTGGATCTCTGCAACTGTCAAAGTGCATTGTCGCTGGTAAAGTCGCACGGTAGTACCGGGTCCTCACCCCGTATAGTACCGGGTCCTCACGGTAGTACCGGACCCCAGTAACTTGGTGGATACACAACTGATGAGTACTGGAGTCTGATGATGCCAGTCAACCGCAAGGGGTGGGGAGGCCGTGAGCTCATGGCAGAGGAGTTGGGGTACCCTTCCAGGGGTCATCAACATAGTTTTTTGTGAGAATTTGCGAGGGTCCGGGGTGAAGCAGGAGTGTCATTCAAGGGGTAGGGTGGCCTCCTATGCTACTCTTGTGCAGGGGTGGTGTACACAAGATTCAACTTGCAAATAATAATGAGATGAAAGATTCCGAGGAGAGGAGAGGAGGAACTAGAAACGAAAGGAGACAGGAGAGGAGACGAGGAAACTTGAAGAACAAGAAAAAGAAGAGGAGGTAGAGGCGACATGCATGTCATCGTATCAGACAACATGATGATGGTAGCGTTTGCTTAGGGATAGGGAAGCGACCTGCATGAAGCGAGTCTGACCATATCTGGTCAACTCTCCGAGTTGAAAAGACAGGAGGTTAGCAAAGATGAGGCATAGCAGACAGATAAGAGCGGGGAAGTATTCAAGACCAATGTCAATTGAGCAATGGAATTGCAGAAGATTTCGAGTTTTCGATGAATCAAAGCATTTTCTGAATGTTCTGATTGGTTTTGGTTTCAACCTGACAGGCGATTGAATCGGATGCATTCCTGTTGACTTCTCGAGTCTCGTTCTACTTTGAATCATCTCCGGGGACCTGCCATGAGTTTTCAACATTCACTCTCAACCTCCTACACCAAGGCCAGGCGCTGGGGGGATCTAGCATCTCATGACGTACACGTGCCTTTTCCTAGACACGTGCTGACGCTCGACAGGATTTTGGCTTGAATGGCCTGAAATCTTTCAATGAGTTCAAAAAGAAATCTCCGTGTTGGAGTTCCTCCGCAGGCAAGAATGACTGGGTTGTCTTCCTTTGAACTGACACATCAACTCGTTCAGCTGTTTACAAGGGCACAAACAATCGCATGGTGAACATTAAAACAAAAAGATTTAGCTTCGAATTGATCGGCTCGCTGCAGTTGAAATCGAACACACGAACAAAGGAGGAGCGAAGGAGTAAGATGGACTCAAGGCGTTCAGAGAACAATCATAACTCAGGGACAAGGCAGTCAATGTCGGCAGGCCTAGACTTCACAGAAAGGTTACCCCATCAGACAGGATACTTCAAGTTCGATATCAATTGTTGCAGTTCCGGACCTCTTTCTGGACTTGTCATCACCGGAGCCCGAAGACAGGTCGAAAAGTTCAAGTCTGCAGGCAGACGATTGTGCTAAATGATATGATAGGGGCCAGTCAAGCCAAGCACGGCTCCGCATACGTATACTGAGTCATCAAGTCAACCAAAATATTTCTGCAAACTTTGAAATGTTTGCGATGTTTGCAGGTTTCGATTGAGCAGACGAAATCCAGAAAATACTTTTTCGTATTATGATGTGTGCATATCGTCTGCTCAAGTTTTGATTTGTTCACTGACATAGATGCCCATGTGCTACGGTAGTTGAAAAATGATATCATCAATGAGAAAAATCCATCAAAGCATATGAGATTGCCTGAAGGGAACAGGCAGACAAATCAGATGACGGGCGATATGTCTACGGATTCATATACATCTAAAAATAGAACTGGGCTTTCTCCGATAAGATCGATTATATTTGATTCTGAAAGGTTGATCGTGTCTTATCGAATCTTATCTCGCCTGAAATTCGATTTCAGAATTATGGGAATCCCAATTCGGGTAGCCTTGAATTCCAGGTTTGTCCAAATTTTTCCTTGCGATTGTGAGTAATACATTACTTAGAGCTTCTACAGCAGCAAATACGTCGAGAGGAGCACGAGTAGCTTTTATTTGCCTAACCTTCGATCCTTTTTGACTCTCTTCGCAAGGCTCAAGGGTCTAACTCAAGCATTGTGAACTATTTCACAGACAGAGATGAATTTTCATTGCTTGATATCGAAGGCACTGATAGTTTAAGGGAGAATATTCATTCCTTTCCCTATCAAACAAGAGCATACTTGGGCATGAATGATCAGGATACAAAATGTGAAAATGTAAGCGCAACACTCAGCCACAAATTGAAATTCCAACGACAAATCTAATCTTTTGCGTATCCAACAGAGATCTTCGCGTAGACCAAAGGAAAAAGATGAGAGGTACTGCAATGCAACTGCAATGCAACTGCTCGTGTTGACGTGCGACGCTCTGTTGATGTTTTGTTCAGAGCATCTGATAGCAAGCGAAGCTCAGTTCTCTCTCCTGGTCCGTGGGAAGGAGACCCCTCAAGATTGTCTCCTGGCCCGTGGGAAGGAGACCCCTGAAGATTGTCTCCTGGCCCGTGGGAAGGAGACCCCTGAAGATTGTCTCCTGGTCCGTGGTGAAATAAATCTTGCCTGTACAGCTGTAAAATTTGATTGAACCCTCGGGATTATTTCCGGTCATGTGCCTTGCGAAATCAAATGAGTCCGATGAATGTTCCAGACGTGAAGGTTCCGAACATGAGTGTTCCAAACATCCCATAAAATGTCCCAAACATCCAAAGAATTGCTTCTCACCTGTACTTGAACAGATTCGCAGGTTTCTTTTCGGAAAAGAAACAGTGTGCATGACAGCGAGAGTGTTCAACTACTGGATAACTCACGAAATCTATCACTGGGGTAGAACTGCTATATACGATCTAGACCCTTTTATTGCCAGTTCCACCCAGCGGTGTATGCAGTACCGATGTTCGGAATAGCATTCGTATGAAAGAATGGATTATGGTGTCCGGTGGGCATCAAGCATGGAAGGAGGAGCGATCAATAACTTTGATGTGCTCTTTTATTTCAAGGAGTTCAAGAGATCAAGTTGCTTTTAGACAAAACGAAAAAGATTGCGGTGATCAGAAGACAGGCTCGTGAGTATGATGTTGCACATGTTCAGAGTTGATCTCTGACATTCTCTGCATTTTGCAATTTCGATTAAGTCAGATGTGTAAATGTTCGCTTAACCCCTTCGTTCACCGCTGGAAGCCTTAGCCCTCGTCCTCTCACAGGTAAATGTTCAACATGTTCTAACGCACGTCTTTTTGAAATATTTACACGTCTTTCTGATCCCGTCACACATCTCATATCTGTTTGGCGCATCACATATCGATCATCACAAATCGCGTCACAAAAACGAATCGATCCGAGACAGATTCGGCAACCTGACGCACAATTATGCACACCAGCAACGCACTCACAATGCTGATTGATGATGCCGATAGACTGTGCTGAACTTTCGGGATGCAACCAGAAGATAAAGAAAGTGCACGCAGCAAACAATTCTCCACCAACAAATGACAACCAAGTCTACAGAATGGTATTCATGGAAGACGCAGAATGATTAGAAAGATATGAGGGACATGAGTAGAAGGGGAATGGTAGATTCATTTGGAGGAGAAGGGGAGGAACGGAAGGAGAAAAGGGAAATTATAATGGAGGAGAACAGGAGGACAAGTATGAGCTTAGATAAAGAGACAAAGATACAGAGGATGGGAAGAGGTAGGGAGATACGTATGAGCCTAGTATATAGGACAAGACGAGGAGATACAGAGGATGGGGAGAGGTAGAGGTAGGGAGATACATACACGTATGAGCATAGACAAGGAGAAGAAGAGGAGAAAGAACAAGAAGGGGAGGAGAGGAAGGGGCCTGAAGCGATAAGAAGAGCGTGGAAGGGTGGGGGGGAGGGGGTTTTATTCCCCCATGAAAAATGACCCATCAGGATGTGGGGTAGTAGACCACGGCCTTTACACCGAGTTTTTTTTATTATGAAGAATTCCGCTCTATTGATACCAAACTGGTCTTAGGATCGGTGCATTATAAAAATATTTGGTCATACTCCAGGTCATAGATTGGTCATAGAGAGGTCATAGAAATTTAATTACACCTACAATTACACAGGAGACAGGGACCTAGAGAACGTATATGGACGGTCCTAGCAACAGATAGGGCATATGATCCAGTTCGAGTTTAGAAGGTCCTAGCAGGGTCCAAGGAAGGTCATAGGCAGCTGACGCGTGATTCTATGGCCGCATCGCAAGAGGGAGAGGACGGGAGGCGCAGAGGAAGAGAAGAGGGGGAGGGGGAGAAGCAGAGGATTTAAAAGCTCAGATCCGAGAGAGATGGTCGATAAACTAAAGGGCATGGAGGGGGAGGGAGGTAGGTAGGTAGGTAGGTAGGTAGGTAGGTAGGTAGGGAGGGTGGGAGGGAGGGTGGAGCGAAATGGATTTTTGCGCGATATCAACACGCCAATGGAGATGGATTGACGAGGACAGGAAAGTCAGAAAAATGCTTGCTTGCTTGATTGAGCAGAACAGAACAGAACAGAACAGAGCAGAGCAGAGCAGAGCAGAGCAGAGCAGAGCAGAGCAGAACAAGAAAAACTTTTCTATGCATGAGAGTGAGTGTGTAATAGCAGCAAACACGCTTAGTAGCCGAGCATCACAGTGAGCCAAAACGTCTTGATTGTCGATTCAAGTGTGCCAAATCATGCTGACATGAACTGAAACGTTTCCTGCAACAAGAATGAGATTCGCTGCTTTAATCCTTGTGGGAACCATATCCCTTTCGGCAGGGAATTCTATCAATCAGGTCAAATCGTCACATTGTGAATGTCTCGTTGTGAATTCATGCATAGTGGACATACGACAACGGCTACAAAGTATCTGTTGGAACCGTCTCCTCTTGTAACGAGAATGTTGTAAGTCCCATACCCCGGTCTCTTCACTTCTGGATTGAGTTTGCCTTAGGATCAATTCCCGGACAAGGTTGCACCCTTGTTTGCCAAATATGGCATCACCTACAAGAATACGTACAAGGTAAATTCATCTACTCTCTTCAAATGTTGAGATGCTCGCCAGATCGTTGAAAACAAGGTTTTGAACAAGAAGTACGTCCTCTATCAGCGAGGGTGTAGCAGGTATTTCATTCATTGATTGTCATGTTTCGACATGAGAATTGCGTTTGGCGATCAGACCTGCAGCAGCAGATGGCCAGGTCGACTTTTTGATCGCCTGAGAAATGAGCTGAGGAGTGAAACAGGACATCGATGGTGTATTCGAAATCCCTCTTTCAAAGGTTTACATGAGCTCGTCGACATACTTTGGATTCATGGAATTGATGGGTAGCCGCGTTGTTGTGACGACATCCTTCACTCATGCACATTGATAGGTGAGAGATCGTCAATGCGCATCATCAATGGTCTGTACAGCTCAAGCCCTTGTTTGCATAGACAGGAATATCTTTTCGTTTCGTCATTTCATCTTACTGACACCAGTCCATTCAGGTATCAGATGGATGGACTAAGAATGCTCCCTTCACCAATTGGTGCTCGTCCACATTAGGGTAGATTCGGCTTTTTCGGACAGGAATTAGTCTCCTCACGTATCTCAACTCACAGATATTGTGATCTCAAAGACACAGATAATAATGCGACCACTCCAAGTAAGTCAAAACAATGTCTTGGTTGGCATATTGAAAAGAAGATAGATGTGCAAGTACCTAATGAAGCGTTGAATGCCCTTAAAATCGAGGGTTCGTTCTGTACAACTGGATTGGTATGCAAGGTATCGAATGTATTTGTTGTCATATGAAGTGACTGAATCACTCCTGCAGAATCCCATCATGGTTAGCGATATCTCGGAAAATAACTTTTATGCAGCTGGTGAACACCTAGAAGATTCAGATAATCAAAGTTCAGATTTTTGAATAACTCGTTGCAGGGGAATGGATCGAATACTTTTCTGTCTTCTTCAATCGTGAGGCTATTGTTGGCCAATTCGCTGACACTACTCGACAGAGGTGCAGGATTCAGTACAGTTGCTTTTTTTCGTTCTGAATTCAATGTTGCAGATGGGTTACCAGCTCCGAGTTTGCAATGTCCATCCAGGACAAGAAGAGAGTTCTTTTCGTATCGTATTGGAAAGAAGCATACCCGTAACTCTCTTTGTCTGCTTTGGATTTCTTCTTGTGATAGTTTGTTTTTCTTGTCTGTAGGGCATACGGCACTTACAAAGGATGGGAGGTCAAGACCTGTGATCCTTCTACCTCCTGTGAGTTGTTGTTTGATCGTTTGTAGTTGACAGAAATCTCAGATACCCGATATTGCGAGCTTGTCAAGGCCGCAGGAGCTATCGCAGTCAACAGTGACACCAGTGCACTAGCGGTGAATGACTTGAAATGAAGTTTGCGACTAAAGGACTTCGAAGGGTTCGACACCAAGTGTTTACGGCAAGGGATACCAAGCGATTGAAAACTCGAAGCTCATTGAGTTTGCGAAGAATGTTGACGTGATTGTGCTCGAGAGTTCTTTGTGAGAGACTTTCCCACGTGAACGATAAACTTTGCTGACTTGTTGTCCTACCCTTTTTTGCAGCTGCTCAACGCCGGGTTTTCATTACTTTCGCTAAGGAAGTAATTCTCCTAACGCTTGCATCAGGATACGATTGTATTGCTGAATATGTCTCTTTCTTCAACAACTTGAAAGTAATGCGCTTGCTTTCAATCGTATTCGAAACTGAAAGTTGCATCCAGGGCATCCCTGCCGTAGATAACAAAATGGTTTTGCAAAGCTTATTGACGAACTTTATGCTGATAAGCTTTTAGGTCTTCGACTTTGGAAGGAAGGCTGACCCATCGGGTGGCACTGAATGGTTGGCTGGAGGACAGCTGCAGCCTGATGCCTTGCTCTTGGATGTCATTAAGGTCGGTGCTTGTCCAGACCCTCTCGTCCCGCTTTTATAACTCCCGCAACAGAGCGTGTATCCTGACAAAGTGCCGAAGCATGAGTTTGTGTTCATGAGGAATCTGTTAGACTCTGTCAAGTCTGGCTCTTTGGACTGCGCGGTGACCTTTCTTTGCTGTGACTGTCAATCATTATCGTTGCTAGAATGTCCCCACGCAGCTTGGATGCCCCATGACAGGCAAGGAACTCATCGCGAAATGCACAGACTTGAGTGCGACGGTGAAGCTTTCTAATGAAGGTGACACTTTTGCCTGGTCAGCTTGCGATGTACTCATCTGATGGTCGCAGATCTTGTTTTCAGCTCCGCGTCCAGCCCCTCTTCTACTATGCTTGTCACGGCCCTTGCATGCGTCATGTCTTTCTTGCTGGCGTTGAAGCATTAGGAGCGACAGTTTTGAGGGTTCGAATATTTCATTGTAACTAACGCGAGTCCGCGTGTTTGAAGTTCATCGACTCTCCTACCTCGCTGTTCACCATCCTCCCTCTAGGCTACTCTGATGAGGAGGAGGCTGATGAGAGTCACAAGTGCGAGCGAGAGGGTCTCAGAGGCTCGGGAGGCTCCGCTCAAGCATGCTGTTGGAGACTTTCAGTGCCGCCTCACCAACAAACGTGTCATGGTCTACCGTCCGGTCCAAGACTCACGTAGACATGGGTGAGGTTGTTGCATTGAGCTGCAAGTGCGGAGCCACTAACAGGACATCCGAGGGCGTAAGGGGTAGACTGAGAGGGACCGTGAGCGGCTAGTAGAGCAAGTGAAATAACCCTCCATCCTCACCGTGCAGTCAAGATTGCCATTCTTGATCGAGTCATACAAGTTGAGAGCAAACGTGAACTGGTAGTTGGGGAGGAGTCTGGGGTAGGCCATCTGCAGCTATGGTGATGTTCGGTTGAGGGCAAACCTCCTTGGCTGACCTTGATGATGTCCTTCAGAAGAGCATCCGGTTGCAGCTGTCCCTCTGCGCTGCATGTCAGATACAGGCTGCTGCTGATCAGTGTCAGTCACCGGATTCCTCTTTGGTTCCTCCCATGGGGTCAGTGACTCGAGACAGATGGAAGACCTGTCTGCTAGTCACCACAAGCCTCGAGCCAACTTCAATCGTTGAGCACCTGCTTGTTGTTGACCGCTGGGATTCCCTAGAAGCAATCCTTATCAGAAGAATGTAAGAGAGTCTTATGCTCGATAATGTCACCGAAAGCTTGTTGAAAATATCTATGAATCCTTGAACGCACTGAGTGCCTATCAAACAACAAGATCAGGCAAAGCAGTGGGTGCCTTTTCAGCTGTCTTCTTTCTGAGTCAAACTTACCGGCTGTGGGGTCACACCTGAAGTATCGGAAATCAGAGGCCTGTTCACATGAAAATACGGGTATACCAGGGGTTCATGAATAAAATGATATCTGCTTCTTTCGCGTATTGGATGATTGACTGATCTGGTACAGCCTGGTAATCCTGACCAGCAATCTTGGTGACAGCATTAGCAACCTACTTAAAATCATCAATAGGCAGTTGGGACTTTCACAGGAGCGATGAATCCACCGGCAGAGTAGAGGTATCATTGTTGATTGGAATCACTCCAGCAGCCTGAAACAATTCACAATAACGATATTCTGAAACACCAGTCAGTTGTGATTCCTTGATAAAAATCCTACCTTCTTTGCATGATTTCACTTCCCAGCCTTTGTAGGTAATCCATGCTGGATTACTGTTGTTGTAGAATGTGGTCCAATAATAGAGAAAGAGCATCTTCTTCTGAACCGATTGGGTTTGAACTGCTTTGGAATTGCAGACCCATCTGGAGAAGCTCAGTAGAGGATATGACGGAGAAACAACAACCTTTGACGGACTGCATCAGCAAAGCTTTGCACCGACATCTCCCTGTTGAAGAATGCTGCAAAAAACTTGATCCATTCATCTGTTTCCAAGAGAATTCACCATTTCAATTTGACAAACGTTGCGTAGCAAGGGATTCGATTACTTGCTGCGTAGTACGTTGTTTCGTAAATGTCGCTCACGACGATGGGATTCTGGTTCTCTGTCATCTAGAAACATTCAAATATTTGGAAGACTTGCCGGTTTGTTGGAAGGGTCGGTGCAAAAAGACGCTTGCAAGTTGAGTTTGTTTGCAGATGTCAATGCGACGAGCGTAGTGTTGTCGAGCGAGTAGAATCTTGACAAAGCGAGAATCAGCTCACGACCACAGGCGACGCACCAAGATCGAACCCTGAAGCAGACGTCCATAGCTCTCCATAAGGCAAATTGACAGTCCACTTTGAATCGAGCTGTCATACAATCATATCAGATTGATGGAAACCGAATGCGACCCAGCACCTGTCTCCACATGCAGGGGTTGTCCGTGTACTCGCCATTGACAAGTCGGATTGCAAGTCGTTCACCTTCATCCAAAGCATCACATGCATTGAGATACAAGAATTTCATGCAATACCCATGAGCTCCAAATCTCCGAAGTAGGTCGATGAATCCACATACACTCTACTCAAAGGGATTTGAAAGGCTCCAGCAACATCCTGCACATGATTTACTTACAACAGCAAGCTAAGGGTTTAGGCATTCAAACATTAGCGTCGGCAGCAGGAGGCCTGCGTTAGCGTCAGGCTTGAGTTTCTAAGCAACTGAACAGGTACTTGGGGCATCCAGATTGATACAGGACATACTTGAGGTTAGCTTGAGTGTTGGTCACAACCTTGCGAGTTTGGATAAGAGGGCAACAATTAGCCGGCTCGAACTACGATATCTACCTTGTACGTCTTGAAATACTCGATCTTGAATTTAGCAAAGTTCACTGTTGCTTTATAAGGAAAATAATCCTGAGGAATTTCAGTTAGCGAGACAAGCTTCCAACATGATGTGACTCATACTGTACCATGGTTGGATCACATTTCGTGACAGTTCCTGGGTTGACAGAAACCTGATTTCCTTGGACTGACCACTATGGTAGCCATTGTTCAACAGACAATCGTTTCGCTCTTGAAGAAGGTTCACCTCGTTCAGATAATTCCCGTTTGCGGTGTGTTGCGAGCATATCAGCAAGCTCAAAAGCACGATCCAGTTATTCATTGCTGCCAGTTACATCAGATCAAATCCTGAAGCATGCACAAGTTTGGAATCATGCTCTAACAGCCCGTCTCACGTGTTCTTAGCCCCCCTCCTCTCCTCCTCTCTCCGAGGCATCGATGCCATTCTCCGGCACACCAACCATCCTCGCCTCGCGCACCTGGCGGTCGCTTCTCCACCACCCCTTGTTTGCCTGTTCAATCTTCACCACCCCCTCTTGTTGATCTCAAGATCCAAGACATCCTATACCACCGGTCCTTCATCACATAACCCCCACCCCTGTCCTTGTCCACCCTGGCATGCTCCACGTCCCCACATTATTGTTATTCTTTTCATGGTACTCACGAGTAGGGGGCTCGTTGGTAGGCAGTAGGGTGGGTGGTGAAGGAGTGAGTCGGAGGGTAGGGGGTCTATGAAAGAAGGAGATAGGGGCACTGGTGCATTATATGGCGACGGCCGGATCGCAAGGCGCAGGTTGGGACCCATGGTTTAGTTTGGTGTAAAGCCTAATTGAACTAAACTTGAAGCGACACATGACAGTGGGTCGAACTCGGCCCGGCACTCAGTGGCCCGTGGACTCCAAGATTTAGAGTTTAGGATTTAGGACTGTGCGCCGGCCGCCAGGTGGGAGCCTGACATCTCTCTCCGTAGCGACTAAAGAAGAGGCTCGACGCCTGACTCTGATGGAAGACGGAGCCTAGGTCACCGGCATGGAACTTAGCAGCGTTGCCGTCAGGGCCTGGCAGCAGGGCCCGGCCGCGACCCTCAGAGGAGGAGGTTGATGGGCCTGGCAAGCCGATCTCGGCGCTTCTACTCGCCGGGAAACTTCGAGTGAGGCGCCCGGTTATTTCAGGCACTCAATGGCTCCACGCCAGGTGTAGGGGAAGCCGCCGGGCGAGGGCGCCAAGGAAGCTGCAAGCAAGAGATCGTCATCGGCCAGAGTCATGCCAATACACGCAGGGCGAGCTTGTGGATGCCTTGGTCCTCCGTCGGAAGCTGATCTGGTCGAAAGCTGATCTGGTCGAGATTCATGAAGCTGTGGAGGGATGCACCCCCGACGCTATCGCAGAGGGCCGCTCGACGTGTCAGCAGGCACGACTTGAGCTTCTACAAGAATGGAGGAAGCCAAGAAGCAGAAGGTCTAGACATACACCGCAACAGCAGGCAACGAGGTGACTTCCTTCATCTCCATGACTCTCCTGGGGATATCTTCGGTGTATGTCAACCAAGAGGAGAAGCTGAAAGTGGTTTAGGGTTAGGGTTTAGAGCGCCGGGTATTCCAGGCATCATGGCTGCACGCGCTCTGTAGCCGGGGGAAGCCGCCAGGGCGCGAAGGAAGCTGCGAGCAAGAGGTTTGTATAGTTTCAATAGCTTTTTCAGTATGGTTCTTCAGTATGATGAAAGTGTTCGCAACATGCTGTATCGGAAATCATGCCAATACACGCAGGCCCGGCGAGCTTGTGGATGCCTCGGTCCTCGAAGCTGACCTGGTCGAGAGGATAAAGAGCTTCGCGAAGCGTTTTCCTAACAGTCAAGAAGCAGAAGGTCGAGACATACACCGCCTCAGCAGGCAACGAGGTGACTTCCTTGTCAACCATGAAGAGAAGTTGAAGAAGAAATTCGAAGAGATCGGACTGATCGTAGACTCAGTGCAAGAGAGTAAAGCGATCATGTGGAAGCGGCTCCGTATAGACCCGAGATAGCGAGTGCTGATGAGATCCCGGTGACTGTTTCCTTCCTCCGCAATGCACAAGCGGAGAAGCTCTGGCAGGGAAGAGAGGACTTCAACTTCCGATCGATGGTCGAGCATTCGCTGCCGTACATGTGAGCATCGTGCACGATCGATCCTTCAAGATTCGAGCCAAGAGAGGACCCTGGGACAGGGTTTAGGGTTTAGGGTTTAGGGTTTAGGGTTTAGGGTTTAGGGTTTAGGGTGTAGGGTTTAGGGTTTAGGGTTTAGGAGCCGGCCCTTAGTAAGAGGAGCCGGCCCTTAGTAAGAGCAGCCGGCCCTTAGTAAGAGCATGCTGCCCTGCGGCGCGTAGGGAGAGCGCAAGGGGACCGGTGGAAGCTGCGAGCAAGAGGTTTGTATCGTTCAAAAAGCTTTCTAAGCATGGTACTACAGTATGATGAGAGCGTTCGCAACCTGCTGTATCGGAGATCATGCCAATACACGCAGGCAGAGCGCTCTGGAGGCCACGTCGAGGAGGCCGCCGACCTCGTCGAGAAGGTGAAGAGCTTCACCAAGCGTTATCCGAATAGTCGGACAGCTTATGCTTGCAGAGCTGAGGGGGGATGCACTCCCGACGCTATCGCTGAAGCCATCCGCTCGACATGTCGGCAGGCAAGACGCGACCTGTTTGAAGACTCTCTGAGCGCATGGAGCTCAGAGTTGAGAGCATGGTTTATTCAACAGATGGAGGAGGCCAAGAAACAGAATGTCGAGACATACATCGGCACCGAAGGCACCGAGGGGACCTCCTTCATCTCCATGACTCTCCTAGGGATTTCCTCGATGTTTGTTCGACAAGAAGAAAAGTTGAAATCGAAGCTTATGGAGCTGGGTCTCATCGTAGACTCAGTCGATGGAGTCGACAAGGCCATCATGTGGAAAGCACCTTACAGACCTGAGATAGCACGAGCAGACGACATCTCAGTCACCGTCTCCTTCCTTCGGAATGAAGCAGCCATGGAGCTATGGGAAGGCAGGAGAGAATACTGCATAGACGGCAGACCGTTCCGAGCCACAGAGGTGAGCATTGCACATGACCGGTCGTTCAAGCTTCGAGCCAAGCGAGGACCTTGGGGCAAGGGAGGGAGCCTTGCCGAGCTATCACAGCTCTTAGCTCTTGGAGGAATGTCGACGGCCGAGATCGCTCAGATTTATCGATTTCAGCTGGTCTCGCAATCTCTTGCAGCCGCAGAGGTACAACCGCTTGCTGGCATGCTCGTGCAGAGTCCTGGGCAGAGAGGTCGCAAGGGGCCGAGCCCGAAGACGTATGTTGCTGTTGGAGCAAGCACTGGAGCTCTGCAGCTGCGAGAAGTGGAATGGGTACTAACATGCCCGACGTTGACCAGCTGCGAGCAGACGTTGGCCTCGTTCAGAGAGAGCGAGGCGATGGAGGGGGTGCATCTCACCCTCATCAGCGACGACGCCAAGCTCAGAGAGACGTTTGCAGTCGAGCTCACAGCAGACACTTTCGTGCCGAGGGGAAAGATCGCTAAGCAGAGGAAGGTACTTCGTGACAGAGACCAAGCTAGGCACAGCAGCTTCAGAGTACAGATCAAGTCGAGGTCAAGCATGAGCACAGGCCGCTTCTCGAGGAAGGAGATGGAAGCGCTGTGCGGAGGAGGTAACACATCGATCACGAGAGTCAAGCGAGCCATGTTGGAGTTAGCAAGAAGAATGAATCTCAAGCTGGTCAGCGTCGAGGTCGAGGAGGATCGTGACACGCTCAGCTGGGATGGGAGCCTGATAGCTCTCTCCCTGGCGACCAAGGCAGAGGCTCGACGCTTGATGGACGACATGCCCTTCTACTTGGAAGGGATCCTGGAAGTCAAGCTGGAAGCGGTGGGTTTTAAGCTCAACCCTCAGCATGAGGAGGAGAGGAGCCCGAGCAGCGAGGAGCAAGCCCAAGAGCCCCAAGGGCAGCAGCAAGGCGCTGGATGGCTGGAGCTCAGCGACATCGACAGGATCATCATGGAAGCAGCGTCACCGTCAGGGC